GTCGCTTTTTGATTTTGTTCTGAAAGGCTAGTCGTGCTTCAGCACTTGAAAGACATTGTGTAACTGCCATATTTGTTTTATTTTACTTTTTACTTTTGCATGTGTGTTTAGTTTTTACAGCAGCTCCCTAGTTCCCTGAAAGTGTTCCCATCTTTTTTGTTGTCTTTTTTTTGTTTTGTTACCTCCTACATTGTTTCATAACCTGGAACATTGATGCATTAGATAGGCAATTTTTATGTGAGGGACATTTTCCTCTGCATAATCCAATGAAAGAAAAATTGAATAATTAACCATGAAATGATAACAGAAAACTGAAACATCATAACCTTAAAGTATTCATTCATCTTGGTCACTACTTGGTTCAAACATATACTTACCTCAACTATAGCGTGTAGTCTATTTGCATCATTTTTTTAACCAATTTGTACACTGTGACGGAGCAATATTTGCTCGTTCTTCCTCGCAAAATTGCTCAGGCTAAGTCAGGTCAGTTAGAAAACGTTAACGAACAAAAATGTTGCGGTCTTTTTCAAAGAGATTTTCAAAGGGAATAAGGTCGAGAGTCTGACTTTGAAGAACAGTTTTCTTTTTCATTGTAAGCCACTCCTGTTACGTCATTGTCTACCCATATTTAATAAATTGTTTCTCCCCTCAAGAGAAATATAGGTTTAATGAGGGATTTTTTTCTATGTTGGGGCATCGTTTATTTCCCATGAATTCTGACACATTGCCTGTCCTTGCTGCTGAAATGTAGTCCCTGCCTCCGTGTATTTAACAGGTGATCGTAGAATCTCTATGTCTAAGGTTCAATACCTACAAGGCCAAGGTGTCCACTTGTTGAACTTCCAGATGTCAGAAAAGCCCCTGATTGCTCCTGCTTCTGTGATCCTTTGGTTCCCTAGAGGGGAAGTTTGTCTCTGACGTCCACAGGGAGGTCAGAGTTTGAGGGCATTTCTGCAGGTCGGACACTCAGGGTCGTGGGGAAATCAAAGTTTTCACCTCTCGCTCGATACAATAATGCATTCGTTGACAGTCTTTCAATTTAACATCTCTTAATTCTTCTGAGGTTTTGATCATTATTTGACATGGTGCTCAAGTGTTTGTAGATGTGAGAAAAATGCAATTTAATCAAGTTCAACAATCTTAGACAACCAAAAGTGAAAAAGCTTTGGGGACTGAATGTTTTTTTTTTTTTTTAAGGTACTGATGTACTTTATATGGATATTGGTTATGCCTGAATTTAAACTTTTCTTTTATATATTGAGCACATGATGTGATATTTTATTTAGCCCTAATTTCATTTCAAAAGGCACAACTGTTTCTTATGGAATTTTTATTTATATTAGAGATGTCTAATAAATTTACATTTTAGATGTTTAAACCTGCATACCAGTAGTTCTCAGTATATATAAAGAGACTGTTTTATTCACAGAAGTGTTATAAACAGTGAATATATTGGATTATTTATTTGTACAACCTTTATTTTCATTTGCCCTCATTGAAAATAAAACATTTATAGAAATGAATCTATTTACCACAGTCAATACACATTGATGCCTCTCATGCCTATTTAAAATTTTAGCCTTTTAATCAGATAATAACTTTTTTCTTTTTTTTTTTAAATCTTGTGTTTTATTTCTTAAATTCACTCTATTAAAAGAGATCCAGTTTATTATTATTTTCCCACTTTGAAGGGTTGAACAGAATGTAATTGCAGAATCATCAATTGGGAATAACATTTTTTTTTTTTTTGACAAACTTTGAATACTACACCTGGGAATTCAGCATGTTTCAATCCAAACTGCCTGTGTGTGTAAATCTTCCCAGAAAGTGTGTAGGAACTCCACAGCTCTTATGTGTCATTTACCCCCCCCTCCCCCCCCATGTGTGTAATAATGTTTGTCATATTTGATGTAAATGATGGCACTTCTCCCTGAGCCACCTCACACTCCTGACTAAAGGAAATCAGTTTGAGTTCTTCGTAGCTAGTCACACATGCCAGTATGGGATCAATAATCTGAAATGTGTCTGTATTTAGTTTGTGGGATATTTTGCACATCATCTAGAAGGCTGACACGTTTTTTCCCACCCATATTTACTTGTGTTTGCAAGGGGAATATACTTTGCTGTAGCAGATTTTATGTAACAAAGGATATGTCACTATAATAAATTCTTTTTATTGAAAAGTGTAATTGTTGGTGTTCAATGTGATGAGAAATGCTGCTGTGTGTGTGGTAATTACAGCGATGTCAGCAGGTTTGTCAACTACAAACGCTGGGCGTTAAAGACTACACTTCCCATGATTCTCTGCTGTCATGTGGGCGAAGGAAGCTAAACCGATGAAGAGAGGCTAGTTTGCTTGACTTGATTAAATCTGAATTTTATCCAATTAACATCGCTGTTTATTTATTAGTAAAATAACTCAGTGGTTAGACGGCTTTTTGTTATCTTAAACAGGTGCATAGCTTGGACGCACTGTTGTTGTCAAGCAGGAATCATCTAAAATAAGGTAACTGTTAAATTTTGTATTAGCACACGCAGCTAACTGTCCCTGTTAGCTTCATACGAAATACGAGAGGAGGCAGCGATTAAATATGAGCTACCGTCATGTAGCGTAACGTTGTTTCCGCGTTGTCCTGTATTCAATTACTCTTTAATATTTTTTTTCCAAATGTGCGAGGCAATTTAGGCATTATCCTGTTGTGTGTAACCTTATTCTGTTTTTTAATCCACCTAACAACGTGAGTTCTCGGTCTGTATTGATACAGCTGTGGCGTTAGCTTTGCTCTTTTAGCCACGTTCTGGTTGTAAGTCATCCTCATTTGTTCTGTTTTGCTGTTTGCTGCTGTCATTGCAGCGGAGACATCCAGTGAATGCCAAGACCGCGAAAGAGAAACAATGATGGTGTTTGAGCTGCCAACCCACTGAGATCTCCGAGAGAAGACATCTGATGAAAACTTACTGTGACGTTACAGATTGTAAGAGTTCATTCAGCCCGTTGTGGTTACATTTGTGCTCAAATTGCATGTGCAAAAATAGTTTCTGCTTCAAAGTAACCACAGCTCGTGTTTTTAAGAAGGGGGGAACAAGTGAAGTTGCCTGACAGGTTTTTGGATGCTGCTCAAACTCACAAAACAAGATCTAAATGAATGTACTGTAAAAGAAAAAAGAAAAAAAAGAAATGCACCAAAATATGTCAGGATAAATGTGTATAAATTATGCACAAACCATCAAAAACCTACATTAAATATATTAAACTCTTAAATCAGAAACAGTCTTATCCAATGTAGGTTTTCACATACAAGGAATTTGTCTTAGTGTTGCTGTGACGCAATATAAAAATATAGTAAAAATATTCAAAGTAAGAGAAAAAAAACAGTACTGCAATACAATACATGTTATATTGACTGTTTTGTAGAGCTTTCCTAATTTATATAAAAAAACATTTTAATGGTTTAACACACAAATGATGTGTTTTGTCTGACAAACCCAAAGATATTAAATTTACAATCATATAAAAGAGAAAAGCAGCTAATCATTAATTTTATGAAGCTGGAACCGGACAATGTTTGGCATCTTTGCTAAATAATTGACTTGATTGATCAATCAAACAATCATTTCTGTTGATTGTCTGATTCATCGACTGATTGTTTCAACTCTTTTTATAAGATACCAAATATGTCAAGTGTAATGACAGTGACGTGTATAAAATGACACACACGTCATTAAACTTAAATGATTTATATTTTAATTAAAAAACTGTCATAGTTTCATCTTCAACAAGCAGCTGCAGAATATACAGAGTGAGGAAGAGTTGGAAATAGTAGTTTGACAGTTCACTGTCACTTTTTCTTCTTCATCGTCTTCAGAATCAGGTTTAAGTAGGTTTTCACATACAAGCAATTTGCCTCAGTAAATTGGTGCATAACAGTTAAACAGAACATGTAGAAACATCTTCGTCAACGCATAGAATTTGCTGAGTTGTCAAATTTTTGAAAGTTGCAGAAAAAGGTAGTAACTGGATTTTATAAAAACATAAAATAAAAGAAATACAGTGAATGTTGTGTTTTAAGCTACAAGGTGAATATTAAACATCATGTTGAAGTGGCCTGTTGTAATGCTTTTGATTGCTTTTGATTTGATGTTTATTGTATTTAATTACTGACTCTTTTATATTGTTTTTTCCAGCCGGCATGGAAGACAAAGCAAATGGCTCTGTTGACACCAAAAGGTAACATTTCCAAATAGTTTAAGACATCGTTTATCGAAAGATTTGAAAGCCTGTGTTACACCGTTAATACATGAATTCACTGTGACCCCACAGCCCAGTGGAAAACGGTCAGCTGCCGGACCCCGCCAACTGGGGTGTCGCAGACGTCGTCAATTACTTCAAAGCGACAGGGTTCGAGGAGCAAGCCACGGCTTTCCAGGATCAGGTTGGAGTTCTATCCCTGCTCAAAATTCCTGTCACACGGTGAAAACAAACCAGGATGTCGGTCAAATATTTCTCTCTCCACCTGACAGGAAATCGATGGCAAGTCCCTGCTCCTGATGACGCGCAACGACGTGCTGACGGGGCTGTCGATAAAGCTCGGCCCCGCGCTGAAAATCTATGAGTATCACGTGAAGCCGCTGCAGACTCAACACCTGAAGACTAACGCCTCGTAGCACCGCAGACCATCAGTACACCCACCTCAGTGACAATCAACGTGTCAGGAGACCCAAGGTTAGCTTCACAAAGACTCCTCCGGCCACAGTGGCACCTTAACAGGATTTGAATGCTGTATGTTTTTATAAGCGTGGACCCCAAAAATGGGTTGCACATGGAGTCCACTCAGCTGTTTACCTTTTCAGCCATTCTTATTTCTGCTGCTTGAGATATGTATTTTTATTTTTTATTTTGTTGTGTGTGTGTTTTATTTAAAAGATAGAAATCTGGGGAGAATATGATTGTTATGTGTGTGCGTGTGTGTGTGTGTTTGTGCGTGTGTGTTAAGTGAATTAACCTACGTTGTTTTAAAAAAAAAAAAAAAAGTATTTGTATATAAGATTATATATAGTTTAAAGTTGTGTATGTTCTGTTGTACCTGAACACTTTGATACACGCAGAAAATGATTCTGCTGCATCCCATTTTTCCCTAAAGTCAGTTTCTATCTAACTCGGAATTCCCCGAGTCGTCCTTAGCATGTAAAAATGAAGCATTTTGTTTTCCCAGACACAAGGAGCCGACCGAAAGCCTCTGTGTTCCTGCACACCTGTGTTATCTAGGCTCAAAGCTCTTGAAATAAAAAATATTTATGTGTATATTCTTTTTATGTTTCTACCTGTGGTGCTTTCAGATTTGTCGCAAAGACAACTGTATTGAAGTGTGTATGACCAATGTATATGTGCAGCATTACACTGGAGTTTGAATATCTGAATCAAAGATTTGCAATAAATGGTGCTCTTTTCTCACCAAAGAACAATACTAGTTCCTGAATTTATTGATAGTGGTTTTCATTTATTACATTTTTCTTACTTATATATTCATGTTAAAGGTTCATGAGTAGGTTTTCATCATCATATTGTATAATCAGCTTCAAATAAAGTTTTTTTTTTGTACCTTTAGAATCAGCTGTTTTTATCTACAGAGCTAGAATGGACAAAACCAAACACTGGAAAAGGGCCTTTCACGTCAGTCACTGTATTTTCTCTAACACGCTTGGAAGGCTGAGATGTATTCAAGTGGTTGCAGTCTGCAACGTCACCACTAGTGGTAACTTTATCATGTTTGTGAAGTCTTGAGTTGTAGTAGTAGTTTATTGTGTTTAAAAACATTTAAAATGTTATTCTGATTTGATGTGTACAGCAGAAGCATTTTCTTCACAGCTTGGCTTGCGGTTTCCTGCGCACTGTCCCTGTGATGTTGCCTGAAGGGTTATCCAAGGGAAGAAGGACCTGTGAGGGGAAAAGTACATGTCAGCGACCTAGTAATTTCATGACTAAACAACTCGAAAAGATTAGTTGTAATGACTGAACTTACTTCATCTTTGTTGTCGAGGCCCATTTTTGTCATGTCTATGATGAAGTAATGCTGGTTGGGCATTATGATCTCTATTTCATCCACCTGAAAGACAGAATACTTAGAGCTAGGGTTTGTCTGAATGAGCTTGTGTATGTGGCCTAGCATTATCTTGTTTTATTGGATGGGATGCAAATAATGCTAATGTCCCGGAGGCATTTATTCCCTTATATGTACTGTACAGTGACTGTGTGTACAGTTATCAGCCATATAGTACTAAAGACACATACTGTATGACTGACAAGTTGGTCTACGTGTACTCTAAATGCTTTGCCCTATTTTTTTTTTTTTTTTGACAAGTATAAATATTTATGCTATGAATATTTGTAAGAAGCACTGATGCTAAGACTAGTGCTTCGATAGAAATCTTATGATCTACAATGTGGACTTACCTCAAGAACTCGGTCCAGGACCAGAACCTGTGTTTCATAAAGGGTTTTCTGCACAGAGGGAGAGTACACTCCACGGTCGTAGGGGCCAGCAAACTTCTCAATAATCGTCTCCTTCACACACTTCCTGTAAGGTCGGTGAAAGTATTTAATTTCACTTTTAGGATTTTTGATAAATGTCTCATTCATGTGAAACAGGAGAGATTCTGTGTTAAGAACCTTCTCTGGCAGATAGTGAATGCAGTGTTCTTCACACGTCTTTAACAGATAATTACCACGCGGCATCAAAGTCGACATCCTCAGTCTTGTTGTAGCGCCACCTAGAATAGACAGAGGTGCAGAAACACCTGTCCTTGGCCTCTTTCAGAGTAGTGAAGCGGTCTCGGAAGAAACCCTCAAAACCAGACTGGGTGGTTTTCAGCACTTTCATGTCCTTCACCCCACTGTGAAGCACGGGGATGCCTGTGTGGGGCACAGAGTCGGTGAGTATGGAGCAATCAGAAACATCAGGAAACATTTTGACAGACAGCAGGCATCACACTGGACTACCGACAATACAAAATAAGGCCCATTACAAGCCTATCGTCAGCAGTATCAGTGACACGCAGTAATACCAAGGTCTAAGCCATAGTTTAAGATCCACATCCAAACAATCACTGAGGATTTAATTAAGCCTAGAGAGTTCAAATTAACCACCATGGCATCCAATTATCTCGTAATTTTCTCCATGTATACTAAATACTGAGCTGCTGAGGTCCTTGGAGCAGCTACAAGCCCTGGATAGCAAAGCAGATCAGGTGTGAATCCTGATTCAATTACAACCATGGTTCCTACAGAAGCAGATGAGCTATTAGAAGTTCAAGCTCCTTCCCAGGAATGCCTGGCAAAAAACATACAAAACTACAATGATTTACAACACTTCCTGTGGGTGTGTTGTTGTGCGTACCATTGAGATTCTGTTCAACATCACAGAAGCGACAAGCTTCTGGGTTGTAGATGAATGCATGAACATGCTCTACCCCATTCTGAGAAAAAAAAAAGATGAAATCATGTTTGGTGATGGATATTTAACATAATCGAATAATTTATGGTGTACTTAGTTTATGGTGCTGTTTAAATAGTTTGAATAAAGGACACCGTTCTATAGTGAGATAGTGAGTGAGTTAGTGAGTTTTATTTCCTGTGGGGGTACTAGTGATAGCGACCTCGACCTCATCATTGCTGGGTGTGTTCAGAGGTGAAAAAGATTTAGGTTATCTTAATTATCATTGGTTCCTTTTTTTTTTTTAAGTATATTTTTTTCGGCTTTTATGCCTTTATTTGATAGGACAGCTGGAGACAGACAGGAAAGGGGGGCAGAGAGAGGGGATGACACGCAGCAAAGGGCCGCAGGTCGGATTCGAACCCTGGGCCGCTGCAGCAAGGACTCCAGCTCGTGATACTGGGTCGCCAGCTATACCCCACTGAGCTAACCGGGCACCCATTAATTATCATTGGTTCCACTTGTGTTTTCCTCATTGATAAGTAACATATCTGACATGGCAGTGCAAGGACTAATCACCCAAACCTTGCATTTTACCTTCTCCAACCTTTTCCACGGAGCCCTCCTCCATGTGAACTTTGGCCCTCCAGCACATGGTTAAAAGAAGGTCAGGAAATGATGACAGATATCCAGGGAAAACTGCTCGATGGTCTTAACCTGAACAGTAAGATATAAAATAAGAAGCAAGAGTGGACAGGCTGTAAGTAAAACCAAAATTTAAAAAACTTTCAGTAACATGAGTAATGTGATGGAACATGGAGTTATCTAACAGATGAATGGGACCATAAAGGGAGTGCAGACTAAAACGTCAACAGAGTTTGTTTCACCTTGATTTTAATTTGATCAGTCTGTGTTTGAGCTGCATCTTGACAGGGGGTCACTTTTGACAGTATAGTTAGTAAACGAATGACATATAAGGAGTCGGTTAAAGGTCTAGTGGTGTACATTTAGGAGGATCTGGATGGAATATAACACTCAGGTATGTTTTCCATAGCATCGTTAGTGTATATTCACCTGATATAGGAATTGTTATGCTTTTGTTACCTTTTTTTATCTACAGACACACAGCAGGTCCGCCTTCAATGGAGGCTGCATGTTTCTACAGTAGCCCAGAATGGACAAACCAAACCCTGGCTGTAGATATGGCCGGCGTAGTTCCTCCCACACACACTGCAGCTTCTGATTCACGACCAGTTCTTATTCCCCAGACGTCAAATACAGACGGGAGCTCAGGGTGTTCAGTTAGTTGCAATCTGCAACTTCACCACTACATGCCACTAAATTCTACATTCTGGTCCCTTTAAGTGAATGAAAAAACTGTATTAAATGTTTCGGTATCATGAACATTGAATGTAACTGTAGATGTGGGTACAGAGTCTGTACCCACATCTAGTTTACTTTAAAACTGAATGACAATATGCCCGTCTTAGGCCTTATGAAACAAATGTTGCGTCTCAGTTATTTTGGACTTAATTACACAATGTTTGACTTACCATGACTGCTCAACTACTGTAATGTGCTTCTCTCTGGTTTAAATGCTTACATTACATTACATTGCAGCTCTGATTCTGATAAGGCCCCGAAAGTTTGACCATATTACAATATAACAATGTACAACTGTATTTCTATGTCATTAGCATTGCATCCTC